CAAACTCCTACTGTTCCCCTGAACTGAGAAGCAGGGCAAGCTAGCAAGCCCTAGGCAGATGCAGATTGCGGGGGTGGTGATGGTGGTGGTGGTGGTGGTGGTTGCGAGAACAAAACTCTGGGAAGTAGAGATTTTGTACACATGTGTATATTTTTTAATTTATTTATTTTTATTTTATGTGTGTTGGCATTTTGCCTGCATGTATGTCTGTGTGAAAGTGTTGGATCCTCTGGAACTGGAGTTACAGACAGTTGTGAACTTCCATGTGGGTGCTGGGAGTTGAACCCAGGTCCTCTGGAAGAGCAACCAGTGCTCTTAACCACTGAGCCATTTCTCCAGCCCCATATGTATTTTTTAGGGCTTTTCTTTAACTTTCAAGTTTTTTTTTCCTTTGACAAATGTCATTTCTTATGTTTTCATAAAAAAAAAACAAAACAAAGAAGCCCATATTTTTCATAGCTCTTGTCTTAGTTAGGGTTTCTATTACTGTAAAGAGACACCATGACCAAGGCAACTCTTATAACGCAAACATCTAATTGGGGTGGCTCATTTACAATTTCAGAGGTTCAGTCCATTATCGTCATGGTGGTACATAGCAGTGGGCAGGCAGACATGGTGCTGGAGAAGGAGCTGAGATTTCTACATCTTGTAGGCAACAGAACATGGTCTGCGTCACTGGGAGCAGCTGGAGCAAAGGAGACCTCAATGCCACCGCACAGTGACACTTCCTCCAACAAAGCCACACCTCCTAATAGTGCCACTCCCCATGAGCCTATGGGGCCTAATACATTCAAACTACTACAGATCCGATATTGATCCTTTACACTGACTGCTTGTTGATATCCCTTAGGATTAAAAACAGAGATGATCGGCTCTCACCCTAAGTAATTTTGATTTAGTGGGCCGGAGTGCAGCCTGCCTTGGTGAATTAAATGTGTAGCTTGACCTGAAAGCCCTTACCCGGAAGGAGTAAGCACTAGAGAAGTCAGATGACAAATGTTGCCAAGCCTGGCAGTGGTGGTACATGTCTTTAATGGTAGCACTTGGGAGGCAGAGTCTGGCAGATTTCTCAGTTCGAGGCCAGTCTAGTCTACAGAGCGCGTTCCAGGACAGCCAGGGCTACATAAAACCTTGTATTAGAAAAGAAACCTTGTATTGAAAAAAAAAAGGAAAAGAAAAAGCAAAATGAAAATCCACAGAGGTCATGGGCATTTGGATAGCTGCAGGCTGGCTGTAATGTGAAGGGTGTCTCCTGGATTTTTGTAAGTATGGATTTATAATTTATGTATCCACAGATGCATAATTTAAATAATAATTGCTTCTGTTAACTCTAGCCCTCTGGGGGAGGACGAAGTGACATTCACTATGGAGGGTGTACAGCATTTTAGAAAAGCTTGGCTTGTAGCAGCTGAAATTTTCAAAGGAGATAAAGGCCAGGTTATAAACTAAAAACAAAACAACAAACAAACAAACAAACAAAAACAAACCAAAACCCCACCAAAACAAAACAAAAAACAAACAAAATGGCATCAAGAACCAAACAGGCTGGTGCCATGGGACTCGGGACAGAGTGCCAAGTGGTCTAGGACAGCTGTGGGGCACACCAGCCAGAGGTTGGTCAGGAATGGCTGTTTGCTGCCTCGCTCTACCTGAGCATTGTCTGGCCCACTGCAGCGGTTCAGTGATTGTGTGCTTGAATCAGCCGAGGAGCAGCAAGCTTTCTTGATCAAACTGATCCATAAGCACAAATCACTTGAGCATCAGCTCTTTATTGTTTCATTCACTTGGTTTCTTAAAATTTATTTTTATTACGTTTATTTAGTTGTTGGGTGCATGTGTACACATTCCAGGGCACACGCATCAGGAGGTCAGGGGAGCCTGTTTTTTCCTTCTATGTGGGGGTCCCAGGGATCGAAACAGGTTGTCGGTCTTGGTAGCAAGTACCTTTACCCCCGAGCTACCTTACTGGCCCAATTAACTTATTTCTGAGGCAGGGTCATGCTAATGTGTCCCAGGCTGTCTTCAAACCTGCCATCTTCCTACCTCATCATCTTGAGTGCCATGACAAAAGGAATGCTCCACCATGCCCAGCCTCAAAGAATTATTACTGTAAATTTCTGAAACACTAGAGAATGCTGGGGACTTCTTGCTTCCTCATCCCTAAATATTTCAGTATCTGCCTTCTAAACACAAGAGCAATAAAATCTCAGTAAAATTTACAGAACGCAAGAGAACGGTGACAGGGGCTGTTATTTAATACGCAGTCTCAGGCCATATTTTTCCGTTGGTCCTTTTAGTATCCCTTATAACAGCCCCTCTGATGACAGAGCATTCCTAGCCCCTGGTCAGTTGTCTTGCCTCTCTCTTCTCATTCTTTTGTCCTTGCTGGCCTGGCATCTGGAGGACCTCTGGCAGTTTTCCTCCACGTGGGTTTGATCTATGTATCCTCAGGATCTTGTGAAGGCTATGCTATGACTTTGGTAGGAATAGAACCCCGGTGTGTCACTCCATCCTTAGGCCTTGTGGGTTTACAGACCACAGCGTCTCCCTTCCCTGAACCTGCTCACATCCTCCAGAGAGAACCTTCCCTACCTAGTCTCTGTGTACACTGCTAGGTCCCGGAGTTGGTGCCCACCCAAGGTCACATGCTTCACAAATGGCTGAGATCCGTTTACCTTCAGCTGCTGTTCAGAATCTCACCATACTCACCTCAACCCCCAGCCTCTGGAGGCCTTTGCACCTCGTTTCCCAAGTCAATCATCTGCTGGGTTTTTTTTTTTCCTCCCGTCTCCCCTCTCTTGCTTGCTTCCAGCAGGCTAGGCAAGGACTTTTGCATGATCTTTACCCAGTAACCCCAACAGTCCCAGCCAATGTGCTGTGGTTGTACTGAGCTTCACTCTGTACCCCCAGCACCCCAATCCAATGTGTTACGGTTGTATTGAGCTTCACTCTGTACCCCCAGTGACCCAAGCCGATGTGCTGTGGTTGTACTGAGCCTCACCCTGTATGCTATTGGAATATTGGGTCTAGAGAGGGGACCAAGGAAGCTGGCATCTGGCAGGTGAAGCTGACTTCAGAGCACTATTTCAGGGTCATCCTGTGGAACAACCTTCTTGAAGGGGATATATAGAGCTGGGAGGGTTGTGGGGCACAAAAGGAGCTCAGGTCAGAGGACTTGAGAACCGGAGAAGAAAGGGCAGATCCTCAGCCTCTGTTGCGGGCTGTGGAAAGAGAGGTTAAAAGATTGTGGTTTTTATTTTAATTTTTAATTGTGTATGTGTGTTGTGTGTAGATAAGTGCACATGAGTGCAGGTACCTATAGAGAGAGCTCAGAGCCTTTAGATCCCCCAGGGTTGGCACTATAGGGAGCAGTGAGCTGCTCCGTATGAATGCTGGGAACCTAATTCAGGTCTTCTGTAAGAGCAGGCTCCTAACTGCTGACCTAACGCTCCAACCTCCAAGACATTTTTGTTGTAAGGTTTGGAGTGTGCTGTAGAATATTGTAAAATGCGTTACACTTGTTTATGCTGTGGAACATTTATTTAATGATGCAAAGATGTGCTGCATTCTTTTGCGTTGCATTTGCTTAACTCTGTGGAGCTGTGTTACTTTGCCTAAATCACCTGATTGGTCTAATAATAACAGCCAATAGTGAGGCAGGGGAAAGGACAGAGAGAATAAATAGGAGGAAGAGGAGGAGAAATCTGGGAAGAAAATATCGGAGAGCAAAAGAAGAAGGAGAGGAGGAGTCTAGGGGCCTGCCACCCAGCTACACAGCAAGCCACGGAGAAAGAAGTAAAGGAAGGTATACAGAAATAAAGATAAAAGCCCAGAGGCAAAAAGGTAGACAGGGTCATTTAAGCTAAGAAAAGCTGGCTAAGACCGGCATTCGTAAGTAATAATAAGTCTCCGTGTATATATTTATTTGGGAGCTTGGTGGTGGACCTTCAAAGAACCAAAAGATTAAAAACGAAACGAAACAAAACAAAACAAAACAAAACACCCAACAGGAGTGGGCTGCTCTTGTTTTCTGTTGTAACAAGGTCTACCTTTGTAACCCAGGCTGGCTTTGAATTGTGATTCTTCCAGCTGAGCTTACCATGCTTTCCTTATTCCTTCCTCTTTTCCTATATCTACTTTTTTATTTTGTAGCCCTAGCTGGCTTGGAACTATGTAGACCAGGCTAGCTTCAAATTCATAGAGCTCTACCTGCCTCGGCTTACTGAGTGCTGGAATTAAAAGCATGTACCACATCTACCTCTCAATCTGCCTTTTTTGAGAGGTTTTTTTGTTGTTAGGATTTTGAGAGAGTGTCTCACTTAGTCCAGGCTTGCCTCAGACTTACTATATAGCTGGGGATGACCCTGAACTCCTGATCCTCCTGCCTCCACCTCCTGAGTCTGGGGATTGCAGATATGCATCACCACACTTGGGTCCTCTTCCAAAGCCTGTAGACAAACACATCGTCAAGGCGGTAGGAAAGGGCTGTGCATCATTCAGACACAAGTCTGCATGTAGACTGGCTTCAGGGTGGCTTGAGTGAGTTCTGGATAAAAACAGAGGGAGGATACAGACTGCATCAAATGTGCTAAACAAAACAAAACATGCGAAACCCAGTGTTTCGAACTAAGTTCCTGTACTAGGCTCAAAATGCAGTTACCCATGACTCCTTGCTTGTCACTAATGGGAAACTAAGTTGTTATTTGAGAAGTTAGGAGAGAGAGAGAGAGAGAGAGAGAGAGAGAGAGAGAGAGAGAGAGAGAGAAAGAAAGAGAGAAAAGGAGAGGCATTTCCTAACCAGGTCAGTTTCAATCTCTTAACTGTGAAGCCCATCTATATAACCTGAGGTTACTCTATTAGCTAGTTTTCTTTTGTTTTGTATTGGTCTCTCCTCTCAAAGAAAGTCACTGTTTTGTTTGTTTGTTTGTTTTTTGAGACAGGTTTCTCTGTGTAGCCTTGGCTGTACGGGAACTTGCCCTGTAGACGAGGCTGACCTCAAACTCACAGAGATCCACCTGCCTCTGCCTCCTGAGTGCTGGGATTAAAGGCGTGTGCCACCATCACCCCAGTTGAAAGTCACTCTTGACTATCCAGTCTACTTTTTCTTCCTTTGTCACTCACCCCCCATCCAGCTCTTTCTGGAATGAAATGTTTCCTGATTCTAGAACCAGAAAATGAAGCTACTTTTCTCCTTGGCGAGTGTGAGGCTGTGAAGGCTACAGGAGCAGCAGGCTGTCCCACTGGGCTTCTCCAGAGCAGGGGCACCAGGTCATAGAAAGACTACAGAGAGAGCTTTCTATTTCCTGCTGAGCCCTGACGACTCTGCTTTACGGTGACTGAGGAACTGCTAGGAGCCAGCATGTGCCACATCTTGCCCACTGAAGTTCTTTGTCTCTTTGGGCCTGAGTTCAGCATCCTCACCTGTAAAATTGGGGCTGCAGACGAGATCTGCCTGACAACGACACCAGCGAACACTTCCAAGAACTCCAGACTTCTGTTAACAAGCCAAATCCACGATATTTTTGCTACGGCAGCCTGTGCAGTATAACACACTGAGAAATGTCCTAGGCCACACCAATGCTGCTCTAACCCTCAGAAAGAGGGTCTTTGGTATGTCCTGACTAGAGCGAGTAGGCACAGAGCAGCCAAGTGTGGGAAGTGTGGGTGGAACTCAGACTTGAGATGGGTTGTCTGCGGCTGGGACACAGCCTGTACAGTGGCAAGGGGGATTGCTAAGTGTCAAGGAAGGGGCTAGACTGAGGTTTGGGCAAGTTGTTTTTCCGCAGCCTCACTCTGGGGCACAGTTCATTGACACTTTAGAACACTGAAGTCAAAACTGTGTCCAGGGTCTCACGAAAGCGCTCAGGTCAGCGTAGGGGCCTGGAATATCATTTATCGAACCATTCATTGCTTGACTTGTGATGTTTGAATAGTTAGACAGATGGCGTGGGAGCTATCTTTCGGACCCTGTCACAGGCCTGGCTGGGGCTTAGGGATGGTGCCCTCAGACCCGGCACATGGCACCTCTAAGCTTAATGTCTGAGAGAGTCAGATGGGAGCTGAGGAGGGACTGAGGAGAAAAGCAATGATCGGGTTGTGAGGAGCGCTGCCAAGAGTTCCCGGCCCTCGCTAACTTTCTGCCCCAGTGTGCTCAAGCACAAGCCACTGCAGAGTTGGGTAAACTGCTGGGATGATGATCTGGGAAAGGAACAACATGGGGGAGAGATCATGGGACCCTTCAGGAAGAAGAACTGTTGAGGCCCTTCCTGACCTGTTCAGGAGAAGCTAGCCATAAGGTTGCCACAGGGGGAGGAAAGGGGAGGCAGAGGGAAAGAGGAGAGGAGCGGAGCTCTGTCTCCAGCTCACTCTGGTTTGACTGTGACCCAGAGGCTTCATCCTGCATCACAGACAGCAGCTACAAGACCATGCTTAGTGAGCTGTCTGCCTTCTGACTGGCGGGCAATGGGCCTTCCTGGTGTAAGACAAGGCACCCACTGGTCAGTAGAGCAGGCGTGATAGGTGCTTGGAGTGGAAGTATGTGTCTCCCAAAGGAAGAATTCAGAGGATACTTGAAAATTAAAGTAAAAAGCATCAAAACTAGAAACTTTTGGAGGTGGGTGATGCTTTCCAAACTTTTCTTCCCCTCTCAGAACAGGCTGAAGACCACGAATTTGGCCCCTGAAGTTTCTCCAGCCCTTGGAGGAGCAACGTGGCTGTGTGCCTTGTTCCCCAGACTTTCCTTTCCGTGGCAGAGAACACATTTCCTGAGATGGGCTTGAGGTCATCTTTTTCCTCTGGTTGGGAAATTCTGAAAGCATGAGGTAAGTCGTGTGGGTGAGAAGGAATGTATGTCGTGGACTTGCCGGGCATCCCGTCCTGGGAAGGAAACATCGTGGCACAGTCTTTCCAGACGGGCCTCTTGGAACAGGAGAAGGGACTCTTCGGAGGTGGCTAGAGTCACTTTGGTTTTCTGGTCCCCTTCTGATTAAGGAGAGACCATGAGCAAGACAGAACAGTTTTAAGGGCTCAGCCAGCGAGATCCAGACTTGTGCTACACAGGGCAAACCCGCCTAGGCTCAAGGAGCCCTGGCAGCTGGTCACATCTAGGGGACAGCTCTTGCTTGCTGTTTCTCAGTCAAAGAGAAGTGACTTTGTTGGACACAAACTTGCCACAGTGCTTTGGAGGAAAAGCCACCAGTTGGTCAAGTGCCATTCCCTACAGGGGAGCCGGGGTGGGTGACCATCATAGTTTCCTTCTGCTACTGTGGTAAGTACTCTGATAAAAAATGACTTACGGGGAAAGGATTTGTCATAGCCCACGGTTCCAGAGCTGAGAAGCCAACCCAGCAGGAGCTTAGACTCATCGCACTCACAGTGAAGGGCAGAGAGAAATGAATGTCTGCGTGCTTCCTCGGCTCACCTTCTCTTTTACACAGTTCAGAACCCCAAGCCAGGGACTGGCGCTGCCCACTTTTCATCTAGGTCTTCACACACGATGAACATAATCAAGACAGTCCCGTACAGATACGCCCACAGGCCGGCCTGATCTTGACACTCCTTCATGGAGACTCAATTGTCAAGTGGTTCTACATTGTGTTGGCAATAAAACTAGCCATCGCAATGGCCCTGGCCACCATCCCTTAGCTTCCATATAGGTTGGTTGGGCCAACAGGACAGGTATTTATCTTAGAGGGGGGCATGGAATCCACATAGGGTGTGGGGGTTGAGAATCCCAGCCTCGGCTCCTTAGAGGATGAGAGGGTATAGGAGCTGTTTGGAAACAGCTATCTTGTTCTCGCACACTTTCCAGCCAGTTGTGTGGAAGTTGAGTAGATGGCTTGGAGGAGTTTTGAGGGAACTCCGTGGTCTGGGAGTGCAGACATGAGGACAGTAGTAGCATTAGCGAGACCAGTGGAGGCTCCTATAGCCCCTGCTGCCTCCCAAAGCACTTCTTGGCTCCTCTCCTTCTCCTCACTTTCAGCCACAGACTGACTGTGTATCCTGATTCCTGGAACTGCTGTCACATAGGTGACTTTCAACAATGACAATTTATTCTCATACTCCTGGGGCCACAAGCCCCAAAGCAAGAGGTTGGCAAGATCATGCTGCCCCCAGAGACTCCAGGGAGACTCTATTGGTTTCTTCCTCCTTCTGGTGGCTCCAGGCAGCTCTCGGCTTGTGATTGAGTCATTCTCTGAACAGGGAAATGGCCATCTTTCCTTGGCCGGTTTTCTGCCCATTTGCAAGGTGATCTCCTGACATCTTTCACATAATTCTGCTTTTCCAAATAAGATCATACTCACAGGTTCTGGGACTTAGGACAAGGATATGTGTTTTGAGCTAGGCTAAGAGATACTTATCCAACCCACTATGGAGCATTTCTGTGAGCATATCCTGGCTGGGCCAGATCCTTGGACAGTACAGGAAGAATTTTCAACTATGAATGAAGTCCTGTGGTTTGACCATCCTTAGGCCCAAGTTTGGTTGTTAGCAGAAGTGGCTGGTGAACTCCAGGGTCTTTTCTTTCTAGCATATTCCAAATGCAGTTCCTGTCAGACCCTTGGCATCTGTGGTGGTGGCTTTGGTTTTCACAGGGTTTTACTCACACGCAAGATAAGATACTACAGTAAAAGACTATAGTACAGGACAGTCAGCCTACCATTTCTGAGGGGTCTCCATTTGTGGATTTAACCAACCTCAGACAGATAATAGAAAAAATTGTACCTATTCTATGTGCAAAGTGTGACTGGAGATTAAAACTGTCTCTGTTCTTCTAGGTGTGTCCCACCTTCTGACATTATAAGGTAAGGCTGCCATCTGCAACATTCACTCTCAAGAACTGCTCACTCAAGCACAGCTGAGTGAAAAAAAAAAAAGATCATAAAAACCCGCTCATAGCTGCTCAGTTGAGCTCATGGGTTTTGCATTGGGCTGTTGGCTGGCAGCATCTGTGACAACTCAGCCGACCAGCTATTTATAGGGCACTCGTTTACCTGTATGGGGTGTTAGAAGCGACCTAGAGGGGTTGGAAAGTATGCAGGAGGGTGTGCAGGTGCTCCCCAAGTGTTACAGCATCCTATGTAAGGGACCGAGTCGCACGGATGAAGACACCAGTGCCAAGTGGGGCTTGACGTCTGCATTTTCCCGGTCTCTGGTGGTTCTGACTGGACTCCAACGAGAACAGCATTGCTTTAGGTAGACAGAAGTGCAGTTTCCTTCATAGCCAGTCAGTCTGTAGAATAAGAAGGTTTACAGATAATGAACCAAGGACACCGGCAGAGTCAGTGAGATCATGTGGGTCCCGGTTGCAAATGGTCTGTCTGAGGACATTTTTCCACGTCATCTCATAACTCAGATTTTGATATTTCTTGAAAAGGAATCGATGTGTCTGGCAGTCCTGAGGTACCATATTCCCAGGGGAATGAGCCACCCTAATGCCTCGAGACAGGACTCACCAGGTAGCTCTGACCCCCCTGTTTGCATCACCTTGCCCACAGTTATAAGAATTTTGGATTTCAGTTCCTAGGTGTGAGCGGAGCCCATACACTACAGCCTGGAGAAACGGCTAACTTCGTATATTACCTTGGTGAGGCCATCCATACCAACTGTAGTCTGGATGCTGCTGTGGATTTTTTTTGCTTGCTTGTTTATTGTGACAGGCTCTCACCCTGTATCTCTGGCCGTCCTAGATCTTGAAATGTAAACCAGGCTGACATTAAACTCACAGAGCTCCTCCTGCCTGTTCCTCCAAAGTACCAGAATTAAAGGCATCTGTCACCATGCCACACGTGGATATCTTTCTAAAGATAAGGTTTATTTACAGACAAGGCTAGCCCTTAACTCCCTGCATAGATGAGGCTGACCCTCGAGCTTAATCTTCCCACTGCCTCGTGAGCATGAGTATGCACGGGTTGCCACCTGCTTTAAGAACAAAAACAAAACCAGAGCCATGGTGCCTTGGGCTTTGTACATGCTAGGCAAGCCCTCTACCGCCCGAGCTACACTCCAGTCTTCTGCAAAGATGTTTTTGAAGTTAACACTTCACCGGCGGACCTTGAAGGAAGCCGATTAAAGCCTCATCCAAGCAGGTGCTGATGATCTCAAGAGGAAAAGGATTGACTCCTTTGAGGGGAAGGGAGTTTGCCTGCAGTGTTTTTAGACGTCACCTCGTCACTGGCCTCCAGACTGCGGACCCACCATGTCGACTGTGGGCTTGCCAGCTTCCATAACTGTGGGGACCAATTCCTTAAAATCTCTCTTTCCTCTGTTCCCCTTTCCTCTCCTCTTTCTCCCTCTCCTCTCTCTCCATTAGCATCACCAGCAATAAGACATATTAGCATCACGAACCCTTTGATATCATAAGGACACATAGCATTTTAATGGTATTCTTTCAAAAAAATATATGTCTGTCTTAGTTAGGTTTTTATTGCTGTGAAGAGACACCATGCTTCTGGACATGTTGGGGTACTGAGGTCTATTTGTGAGTAGCCGGCGTAGTGGGGAGTGCAGGGATGTAGGGTTCATTCTTTCAAAAAGTGACCATTTTCTGGTGCAGCCTGGGAGCTATGCCTTCAGAGACAGAGGCGGCAGCTAATGAGTAATGTTACTGTAATAATTGTAATAATAAACAGTAATCAGTCACATGCCACACTGATATCAATAACAGTATTTACTGAGTGTTATTATTACATACTACGAGGTTCTGCACTCAGGACCAAGTTGAATGTACTGAATCCTACTTAGTATTTGGAATTGCCTAGTGTGGCCATTGCTGTTTTCATCACAGGGTTCCAAGGACAGAGCAGTCACAGGAAGGAACAAACCTGCTGAAGGTTACCTAGCTCCCGGGGGCCAACACAAGATATGAAGTGGAAAGCTGAGGATAGTGGTGGGTCCCGCCAGCATCACACCTACACATCCTGAGGCTGGCATAGATTTTTGATCTCCAGTAGTGGGCAGGAGCCAGGGTCTCTTCTGGAGCATGAAGGGGAAGGCTGAAGGGGAAGGGTGAGAGATGGCTTATTTTACCCAGTCCCTGTTATCCGCTCCAGGTGAGAATACCCGTGAAGGTCACCTCCACTCCAGGTGAGCCACCTGGATCCCTATACACCACCGATCTCAAAGGGACCTGGGGATTCCTGTGTCTAGCTTGTACTTCATAGAGCTGTCCTGGTGTTGGGTCCTGGGAGACTTCGCGTAGCTGCCCTTTCTTTTCCCACCCTGTGTCCATTATTCTGAAACCAGAATTTCTTAAAATAGTGGTGCCTGCAGGAGCAAGCTTTGCTGTTTTCAACATCTCCCATGCCTCACTGAACATATGTGGCCGGGATGTCACATGCCACATGCTAGGTGCCCTGTGGGTGTGCTGTGCCACCTGGGCCACATCAGTCCACTGGATTCTTGCTTGGATACCATTGTGTTGTCAAATTGCTCTAACGGGGTCAACTCCTCTCTGTCAGCCCATGGTAAAGCAGAGGCTCCAGGTAGAACCTCAGCACCCGAGGGGGCTGCATTCCCCGTGAGCACATACCCCCAAACCCCATCTCGATAGCCAGGCACTAAATGCCACTTATGGGATTTTGGTTTCTCTACTCAGAGAACATGTCACTGCAGTAACATTTTTGCAAGTGGTCACAGATTTCTCTGTCTAGGAGTGGCTCCAGCAGCCATCATAACAATGCTAATGACCTCTGGTAGTGGCGGTGACGTCCTGGCTCATCTCGCTGTACATCAAAGCAGCCACATGTGGCTCCTGAGCACTCAGTATGTGGCTAGGATGAATGAGGGATTGAATCTTTAATTTCATTTAAATTGAATTAATTTATATGTGACTAGCTCCATGCCCTCACACGTAGCTGCTGAATGGGCTGCCCAGATGTCTAACAAAGGAGGTTCTGGACTTGGGCTGTGGCTGGGCTTGGGGTTGAGATACAAGCTGCTATGCGCATGCCCTGATGCATGCCCTCTACCATGCACGTGCCTTGGTGTATGCCCCATGCAGGGAGGGAGCCAGAAACAAAGAGCTCAATAATTTATTCTCCACCTTAAGTGTTTTCTAGGGTCAAGTAAAGTGGAGCAGGTTCATTTTCAGCCCTTTGCACGGGATCAGGACTATGATGGCTTGAATGAGAAATGTCCCTTACTAGCTCTCATATTTGAACCTCTGGTTCCCTGTTGATGGTGTAGTTTGGGGGGAAGTTTATGGAACCTTCTTATTGGAGGAAGCACTTCACCATGGGCAGACTTTAAGAGTCCATAATCTCAGCCCATTTTCAGTTCTTCATCTTCCCCACTCCCTCTGTTTTGTGTCTTCTATTAAAGATGTCATCTCTCGGCTTCCTGCTCCAGCTGCCCGCTGCCATGCCCACTGCCATGCCTCTCCTGCAATGGTGAACTCTTCCACTGGCACCGTAAGCCAAAACTCTGTCTCCCATAAGTTGCTTTTGGTATGGAGTTTTATCACAGCAACCAAAAGTAATTAATGCAATAACCTTGGCCAGGTCACCAGCATCAGAAGGAAGAGCTGGCAATGCAGTATCTGCCTGTGTCAGGAGCTTTAAATGAGTGACCGCCCTTGTCTTCTGGGACACCTGGCTCAAGGTTGGAGGAGAAAACAGAGACTCAGCAAACACTATTATTCTTTCTAAGCTCCATAGCGTGAAGGTAGCCAAGTAGGGATTCAAACCTGGGGCCACTGAGTCCTGTGACTTTTCCCTAGAAGCCTGGAGTGTTGCCTTTTTGCTTCTGGATGACTCTGACATTTACCAGATGGTTGCTGGGATGTCCTGGAATTGAGAGGTCAGCAGCAGAAGTGGTCTGTTTGACTTGGTCCTGTGCTGATGGGCTTGTGACCATTCTCAGCATCTTTAGTTCAGCTGTATCCCACCAGCATGGCTCTAGTGTTAAAAATAACCAAGAATGACAAGAACTGGGGTTCTGCGGTCAAAAGGGCAACATATGTTTCTCATTTTGTCTTTTTTCTTCCTTAATTCTCTAGACAGGGATTAAATATAAAAAAGTACTTCCTGACCAAAGACTTGGAAGATACTGGGACGGTCAGTCACTGGTGAACTTACTGTCCAGAGAATTCTTTTACAGGTCTCGTTGAATTTTTAAAAAGTCTTTGACAGTATAATACACATATGTAATAAATTTTAGGTATTTCCCTCTCTTTTATTGTCTTTTATCCCCTCCTCTTTCTCCCGCTGGAAGACTTCTTCCCAAACAGTCTTGTTCCTATTTTCAGTGTGTGTGTGTGTGTGTGTGTGTGTTTGTGTGTGTGTGCACATGCGCGTGTGCTATCCACAGAGTCTGAATAAGGTTATGTACATGACCATGGGTGGGAGATTATTTGCCGGGGCATGGGCAACACCATGAAGTGACCCCGTTCTCCCAGCCACTATGAGCAGTCAATAGTCTCTCATGAGCTCTTCCTTCTTCCAAGATAAGCTGTTGACTTGGCCAAGTCTTCTGTGGGTAGCCACACTGTAGTGAGTTCACGAGAGTGTTCGCCGCATAAAATCCAGAAGACAGCATTTCACAGGACTCCTTACCAATCTCTGGCTCTTAGGATCTTTCTGTCCCCTTTACTGCATGTAATATTCCTTGAGTCTTTGTGTGTGTGTGTGTGTGTGTGTGTACACATGTGTGCAAGATGTTCAAATTAGGGTTGATCATTCCATAGTCATTTAGTTTCTGTCTTTGGCCATTGTGAGTTACAGAGACTCACACTGTCTACTGTAAAAAGAAGGGTCTCTGGTCAAGGTTGAAAGCGGCACTACTCTATGGGTATTAAGGTACCCATAGAACCTAGAACACAGTACCTAGAACATGGTTTGTAGACTTCAGAGATGTCTCAGTGGTTAAGAGCACTTGGTGCTCTTGCTGAGGAACTGGGCTTGGTTCCCAGCACTCACCTGGTAGCTCACAATCGTATGATGCCTCCTACTGACCTCTGAGAGGAACGGACACATACACACATATGCAGGCAAAACATGTGTACACTTAAAACAAAATAAAAAAAATCTAAAAGACCTGTTTTAGAAGACAATTTGATACCATATTTATTTAGTAAAATAATAGTAGTAGGCTTGTCCTTGGGGCCTATGGCCTCTTAGGGGACAGGTGCTTGGCCACACTGGTACCTAACTCAAGTTCCCTCCTAGAGTGGGCCTCGGGTGGATTGTCCCATAACTTCCACACCGCTATTGCACCAATAGGCACATCTTGCCAGCGTGGTCATTGCTGTGATGTACAGAAGTCACAGCTTGTGTGAGACTGTCGATGACTTTCCCAGTAGCCCGCAGAGTACCTTTAGTGCTCTGAAAGTTAGCCAGCAGGAGCGAGCTTCCAGGACAACCTCAGCTTGATTTCCTCACGTCAGAAGAGCACAGCGTGTGGTGTCTCCAGCCATAGGCTCTCATCATCCCACCCCTGGCACCAAGATTTTTGTTAAATAACCTATGATTTCTGGAAAACATTCCTGGCATACCTCCATTCAAACTCTTTTATTTTTATTTTATTCTTTATTTTTTTTAATTTTTTATTTTTTTTAGACAAGGTTTCATCTGTCGCTTTGGAGCCTGTTCTGGAACTAGCTCTTATAGACCAGGTTGGCCTTGAACTCACAGAGATACACCTGTCTCTGTCTTCTAAGTGCTGGGATTAAAGGTGTGTGCCACCACCACCCAGCCATTCAAACTCTTTTTAAAAATTATATTTTAAATAAGTTTATGAGTAGATTTCTATATTGCTCTTTCATAGATCTTTAGTGTTGGTTATTCTAAAAGTCTCTTAATTATACAGTTCTTAGTGATAAAATTCAAGATTGTTCCTAAAGGACAACAGACAAACACAGTAAGAGAAAATGCAGTGTAATTCTACTCAAAGAACCTTCACTGCATTCTTTTTTTTAATCTCCTTTTCCCCCTGCACTCAAGAATATTTTGTTTTCTGTAGTTACCACTATAGATTTAAGGGGGATTATAGATCATAGTGGGCAGATTCAAAGTCTCCCTGGATATCAAAACAATGATTTAAATGAAACCACTTATCAAATCTTCTAAGGCTATAGACCAAATTTTTTCAAATCTTTCATTTACCTCTGACCCATGTGACCAGGCTGTAGCATATTCAGTGTTGTGCTGTAGATGGAATTTTTTCTGTCCTGGGAGCCACTTTCCAAATAATCGCTCAGAGACTTATATTAATTATATAAGCTCGGCCAATAGCTCAGGCTTATTACTAGCTAACTCTTACATTTAAATTAACCTGTATTTTTATTTATGCTTTGTCATGTGGCTCATGGATTTTTACTTTACTTTCTATACATCTTGCTTGCTTGACGACTGGTTGACATCTGTCCTGACTTTGTCCTTCCTTCTCTCTGAGTCCTCTGTGTCTGAATGTTCTGCCTATACTTCCTGTCTGACTTTCGGCCTATCAGCTTTTTATTAACCAGTGAGAGTAATTCATATTCCCAGTGTGTAGAAGAATTATCCTGCAGCATTGTGTGCTATGGGGACTTAATATCATTTCGAATGGATAGTGTTGGGTCCACCAAATATTGTCTTGGAGACCACCGTAAAGTCACACTGTTTTAACAGTTGACTTGAACTAGTAACACAGTAACACAGATCTGAGTCAGGGCTTGTGAACTATATAGTTCCGCCCACCAGTTTAATTTGTGCTAAGGAGTTACTTTTAGGAGGGGGAAAAAACAGAAGGAGAAAAGAAATATTCATCAGTATCTAAATAAATCTTTTATGAAATTTACAATTTTTGAATTTATGAGATTCAATTAAAAATGTTTCAGGAAGCATGGCTCCTCTGATCTATGGCCCATGTTTTACTGCTCTGGGTATCAGAGCAGATGCTGGCTTAGACACAAAGCCTGAAGTGTTTACCCTCTGGCGCTACAGGGACGGTTTGGAGAGCTCTGACGCAAGCCAGTGGGTCCCAACTTCGCTGCTGTCTCTCAGAATCCCTGAGGGAACTTGGAAAACCACACAACTACCCAGGACTTCCTCTATCCTGGCCCAGGGTGATTCTGGAGGTCAGTCAGGGGCTTAGGGAAGGAAGCAACCGTGCCTGAGGCTTGGGGTCAGCTTCCTTTGGACAAAGCCTGGTGTCCCGGGCTGCTCCAGATGTGAGCACAGCGTTTGTGTTCCTGGCGAATGGGTCCTTAAGTCTAGCCTAGAAAGGTCCCCCTGCAGATTGCCAAGGGCTTCCCTCTGCCCCCAGCTCGGGCCTCTGCCACCCCTCCTTAGCCATAGCTTCCTAGAATCCCTGGCAGCTGGAGGGGAGCAGGAAGCCCTGAGGCCCCTGGGCTGGACCCACCAGGAACGCCCTGTCTGGGCCCCGTGTCTCTCCCACTCTTGGTTTTCTGGCTCCTGCACAGTACGTCCTGCGCCAGCTGCACACATGGCCTGAGCCGGCTCGGAGCCGACCTGGGAAGACTTGAGTGGAAAGTGTTGGTGCCGGCAGGCATTTTCAGCTCTGTGACCCTCTCTGTCCTTAACTCCCCTCTCACGCTCCCGTCCCTTCTCTATTTTTCTCCTGCAACCTCCAAGTCCTCACGCACCTTTCCTCTTTCCCTGGCACCCCCAAATCTGAATTTTCTAGAAAGCCAGGCCCTAATGCTTAGGCAGATCTGTGCGTGCTGGCAGCCTCCTTTACAAACAAGGTCATTATGGGGATGTGAACTTGGGCCTGCCCTCAGGGAGCTCCATCCTGAGGAGAGTCAGACAAAGTGCTTTGGTGTGAGTGAGGTCACTTCTGCTTTAACTCTCAGTGAGCAAAGAATAATCAAGTATATTTGTGGGATCCAGTGTGATGTTTTGACAGAGGTAGACTTTGTGGGATGTTTATATCAAGTAAATTCACATAAGCCATTGTCTCACATTCATGTTTTTTTTTTTAAAATAGTGAGAACATTTCAAATCTATTCTTTCAGTAATTTAAAAATACGTGATAGGCTACTATCAACTGTGATGGTCATGAGTGCAATAGATCTTGGATTTATTGCTTGTGTGTTCCCAGACCTTTGTATAGTTTGCCCCCCCCCTCACACTCCACTCCCTGCACCATGCCCCTTGGTGAGTACCATTTTACCGTATTACTTCTGGCTCAGCTTTCCCAGATCTGCATCGAAAGTGAAATCAGATGGCTTTGACAGTTTGAAGCTAATTTGTCTCAGGCGTCGGCTATAGAGTTGCAAATGGCAGGATCTCCTTTTTAGTATTGACTTGTCTTTAAAATTTTGTTATCTATTTTCGCGTGTGTTTGCATGTGTGTGCCTGTTTGTCTGTATACGCTCCGTGTGTGGGTAGTTGCTCTTGGAGGCCTTAAGAGGGTAAAAGAGGGTATTGGCTCTGCTGAAGCTGGAGTTATAGGCAGTGGTAAGCGTCCATGTAGATCCGTCCATGTAGGTCCGGGGAACTGAGCCTGGGTCCTCTGCAAGAACAACCAGTGTTCTTAACCTCTGAGCCATCTCTCCAGCCCCAGGGTCTCCTTTTTAAAGGCTGAATAGTATTCTGTTATATAGGTAGCACCTTGCCTCCATTTCCACAGGGAACCTAGGTCGGCACCATAAGCTTCCTGTTGGGAACAGTACTGAGGTAAACAGAGGGTGCTAGTTTCAGTTCAATTGGAAGTCTACCCTGAAGTGAGACCCTGTATCATATGGCGGCTCGACTTTTTACTTTTGGAGAGCCTCCATACTGCCCCATTTCCATCCCTATCCGCAGACCCAGAGGCCTTTGAACAGTACCCTAAAAAGTTGACCTTGAGCTAAAGACATTCTTTGTCATTTCAGTTGGACAGCACCCACGAAGACCCCAGCCTGGCTGCATGAAGTCAGGCTCAGCATGGGGGGGCTGAGTGAAGTCAGGTTCAAGATTGAGAGTGTGTTCCCCCCCAAAATGGAAGGGTAGGTACATGCAGGAACCCATGGACATGCCCCTCTTAGACCCATGGATGTTGCCCAAGCTAAAACCCATAGGAGGGTCTAGGTGTGGAAGGCTGTGGTCTGATTTGCAGTTCTGGAAGTTCACTGTGGCTCCACGAGGGTGACCTGATGTGCCTCATCTACAGCAGGAAGGCCACTCTAATCCGGGAGGGCTGAGATCTGAGAGAGATTTAGGACTTAGG